TTAATAAAACCATTATTTAATTACCACTGTAATTAAATAATGGTTTTATTAATGGCCACAATGTTTTAGTACTGTTTAGTAATGTTTTGAGTGGTATTTTCAGACATGAATCACCAACACTTCCTGGAATCTTTTCTTCAGGAAATGCAAATATTTTAGTCTTAATCAAATGTTTCTTCAACAGGAGGAAATAGAGCATTTGTTGGGGACTATTTTCAGCTACAAATGAATCCATGTAAGGTGCTATAGTGAGTATTTAGGGCAGCTTAGTACATCATCCTCCCCAGAGGATGAACGCTTTTTATTTTGGACTCTGCAGTAGCTGCTGTGCCTCTCCCAGGCCAAAATATTAACTTTGTACACAGTATGCCTTGATGTAACAGTTGCCTGTTGCATTACATTAAATAACCCAAGGGAATAAACCTTTTTGGTTTTAATGACCCCTTCTCTACCACAATCCACAGGAGAAATTTTATTATGGGATGTAATGAGCAGCTTTTACCTAGGTTTTAGACTTGTACTTATTTTCTTAAGGCTAATAGAGGAAAACAATTTCTACCATGTTTATCTTTAGTAGCCAGTGATGTCGTGGGAGGGGAAATAGGCAGGAGATTTTGGTGTAAAAAAAGTCTTCCAATCATAGTTATAATTCACTCCGTTTAATATACCTGAACTGACTGATCTTTTATATCTTCAACCTACAGTTGAATCAGTTGTGACCCCTGCCCAGGGACTTATCATTGTAATTAGCTATATTGGGTGCAATAAATGTATTGTGCATAGTCGTTGCTAAAGTAGTAAATATAATAAAATGTTGAACATGTTTCCCCTCTGTGTGTCCAGGTATCCCACCTGCCAGCGGGACAGGAACTCTACAGATGTACCTGATGGACATAAACGACAATGCACCTCACGTGTTCCCCCCTGAGGTGGAAATGTGTGAAAAGCCAGATCCCAATGCCATCAACATCACAGCCAGTGACCCAGACCTGACCCCAAACGCTGGACCCTTCGCCTTCGAGCTGGCCAGTCGTCCAACAGACGTGCGCCGCAACTGGACACTGAGTCGCGTTAATGGTCAGTAGGCGATAATGTGTCTGATATATGTCATCATTCATTAATTCACTCTCATACCTTAAGTACCTGATTAAATGGAAGAATACAACAAAACTAGTTATTTACATAGTCACCCAATATCGAGTCCAAAAAGGCTTGATTGATCTCAGTATGTACTGTAACTCCAAGTCTCAGAGTAAATAGTTTCTTAAGTTGCACTTACTTACATAGACGGCTGTGAGTCAGAGGTAGAGCGGGTCGTCCACTAACCGGAAGGTTGGCGGTTCAATCCCCAGCTCCTATTGCTGCATGTCGAAGTGTCCTTGAGCAAGATACTGAACCCTAAATTGCTTCCTGTGTATCTGTGCATCGGTGTATGACTGTGTGTGAATGCTTAGTTTCCGTTCTGGTGAGCAGTTGGCATGGTATGAATCTGCGCGAATGGTGTACAGCGCATTGAGTGGTCGAAAAGACTAGAAAGGCACTATATAAGTACAGTCCATTTACCATTTACATACTACTATGTAATATGGTAAATGGACTGTGGGTTCAGTGTCTTGCTCAATATATATCCATACTTCGACATGGAGGAGCCGGGGATCGAACCAACAACACTCTGATTAGTGAGACTCTACCTCTGAGCCACAGGCTCCCTGTGATAGAGGACTCATTGTCTGAGACTAGACTGACCTCAAACTGATTAATCTTTGAAATAATTCGCAGAGGCCTGTGGACCAGTGGACATGTAACGGTGGTGACCAGCTTGCTGGTTCAATAACCTCAACTGGGCCGCTGTGACTGATACCACTGTGCCACTGTGTTTTGGTTGCCTTATTGAACATGCCAAGGTTGATTTAGTTCCTAGTATACTTCCAAATTTAAATAGGAAACTGTTTTCTCTACCTCTTTATTTTCCTCAGCACATTTCCATTTATAACACAAGAGAGAGAAATGATCCACTTTCTCCACTTAGATTAAAGCTACATAACATCGATAAATCTGGGTCTGGTTGCATTTTGTTTAGAAATAAACGTTTTATTCTACTCTCCACTTAAGTACTTTTGGAAGTACTTTATCTATTCAACCCTGGTGTAAGGTTTGGGTAAAGTTTCTATTTCCATTTCAATTTTCATTGGTATTTTAGTAAGAACCCCCAGCTACTCTAGCTGACCGCCATTAGAAGACTCTAGCAGTATTGGGCAGCTGTCGTGAGTGGTGAGAATTTAAAATGCTTGCCTATGTTTTAATTTCTCCATCTGTCTACCCTTCCATCTAATCATACTCTAGGTGAGTACGCCCAGCTTCGACTACGAATCCCCTCCCTGGCCAGCGGGATCTACGAGATTCCCATCATGATCACAGACTCTGGCAACCTGCCCATGTCCAACACGTCCTACCTGAGGGTCAAGGTCTGCCAGTGTGATCACCATGGAGACTGCGTGGACATGGAGCGGATCATTGCTGCAGGACTGGGCACCGGTGCCATCATCGCCATCCTCATCTGTATCATCATACTATTAGGTAAGCCTCCCACAAACACACACACATACACGTTGCTGTAGCATTTCGTAGATCTCAAAGAATACACAGACATTTGTGTTCCAATGAAGATGAGTTAGCAAAATTAGCATGCTAACACACTAAACAAAGATGAACATGGTTATATCTGCAAAACATTAGCATTTTAGTATTATCATTTTGAGCATGTTAACATGCTGATTTTTGCATTCAGCTCAAAGATTTCCTGATTTTGATTCCAAATAGCCCTACACAGGTTTTCAGCGTCAACACAACTGTTTCTGGACCTATTTTTAGCAATGTTGCTGTAGCGATTAACTTTGGTGTGTTGTCATGACTGGTTGAGCCGAGATATGAAAGCACAGCCAAAGTTGAAATAAACTTACATTGTTGTTTAACTTGATATTGTGCTCACATGGTTCCTAAATAAAGTTGTGTTCAATCGAATACACCACAAACTAATTGGTTTGTAATGAAGCTACCATGGTCTATGTCTGTTCTGTGCACGGAGGCAGCAAGGTATGCACACAAGGCACATAGGCCGGTAAGGGGGTTTGGGTTAGGGGTTTAATAGGGAGCAGCAAAGCTTTGTCTTAGGGCCCCTGACTACTTCAATTTGGCAATGGCCACATCTAGCACCATGGGAAGAAAAGGTATAATTTTACTCATCTATTATTTGCACTGGAAGGCAAAGAATGTATCACTTTTGTTCCATTTGTTGCTGCAACCAGCAGCTAGCATCAGTCACTGTGAGTGAAGCTCCTCTGCTAAAGCATAGGTTTACCATGGCAGAGATCCCAGGCTCTAATCCCAAGCGAGAGTGTCAAGCTGGTTGCAGTATTTCATGAATTATGTGCTTGTGAACAAGTAGCACTTCATGTGCTTGGACACTGTGCGTAGCCCTTTTGAGCTGCTTCCTCACCAAAATGCTACAAGGTGACAACAAGGGCTGAGACAAGGAACTCGGCTCTCACTGAGTGCTCTGCTGCAGCAATAATACATGATTATGAACAAGTAGTAATTCACTGGGATTTACTGCACTAGACATCAAAGTGCATCAGCAATGAACTTTGTTTAGCGGTCGAGAAGTGTTCAAATATGTGTGCAAATGCAATGATTGCACCACACTTTTAAAACGGATAAGATAGTGCTCTGACTCATGCCAACTCACCTGGTGATGTTTTTTTAGATCAAATCAAAGTTTGCTTTCGACAGTTAGAATAAAAGCACAATGGTCAACCAGGCTTTTTTGAAAACCAACCCAGAGTGAGAGCTTTGCAAGCTGTGATGGAAAAAGGATCAGAGCAACGGGCAGGATTTTGAACTAGAGAAGCCATAGTGAATTCTACAGTACTCTATTTTAATAACTTCCAATTTCATTGGAAATTGCAATGGCACCTCAAGTTGTACAATAAGAAATGTCTAAAGCATTGAAAAATCATTTTGATGGCTACTCTTGAGGACGAATGATCCAACAGTGCCTACAGAGGGCAAATGGAATGAAAGAAAAACAGTGCAGTAAGGGCTGCCGTCTGTTAGTATGGGGGGATTCTCATGTTTTCCAGTCAAAGTAGAATATTCATGTATTTGATTACTAAATTGTGATTTTAATTACTATTGTTGTTTAATTATTTGTTCTGCATTTCTAATTTTCCATGCATATGTTATACAGTGAGGGTAGCTAAACCACTTTACTCTTTAGGACTAGAGAAAAATAAATACAGTACAGACAAAAGTTAAAATTACATTTTAAATGGAAGGAGTGAATGGATAGGAGTTAAAGTGTTTTTTTATTTATTAATTTAAGGTCTGAATGAAGTCGAGGTGTCAATTGAAAGCTCCAGTGTGTAACATTTAGAAGGATCTATTGTCAGAAAGGGAAT